ATCCATCACGCCTCCATTCGGAGTGACAGTGTTGGCGCTGTGTGTTATCTTAATATAAAAGACAGAAAAAAAAAAAGTAAATTGCAAAACGTGTTTCTGGCAGTTATAATGGCTGTTTCCTTTGTGTTTCCAATGCATTGAGCCAAGTATCAACAGCATACGGACCTCTAAAGGAAACACATTGAGAACTTGTACAGAAACCCCATATACTGAAACAGGGAGAAAAGGAAGGCTCAATGCATTGGCCAAAAGCTTGCAGTTAACTGGATTTTCAAGGTACCAGAAAGAACTGATGGAACTTTTGCACCACTGAATGACTTTTTGACAACTTGTAGATACCTGCTGGAGGCATTTTTCCAGTGCACTGAACCCTCTTTTTCTCCCTTTTTCAATAAAGTGGTCTTAGCTTGCAGATCATGAGAACATTTTCTCCAATCTCTAACCAGGCTTCCTAAAATAAGACTGAGAGCTTTATTCCGAAAGTGTGAAAGTCATCAAGCTTTTATTTTTTTGGGGGGGGGGAGATCTGGAGCCCCCTGGTTATCTCCTGGTCTGGGACTTCTTGGGCGTATCGTTGGTGAGCCAGTTTTAACCCTCAACTATATTATCCAACACATCATCAGTAGGGTGAAACAAACCTGTCTCACGACGGTCTAATCCCAGCTCACGTTCCCTATTAGTGGGGTGAACAATCCAACGCTTGGTGAATTCTGCTTCACAATGATAGGAAGAGCCAACATGGAAGGATCAAAAAGTGAACGCTTGGCCGACACATGTATTTATTATGCATGAATTGTTATTACTACAGTATATGATTATACAGCTGCTAGATTGCCTTCTGTTCCTCTTGAAGCGGGGTCAGGGCTGTGGATAAGGGGGTACCACCGGTCCTCCTGTACGGGGCCCAGGCCAGCAGGGGGGCCCAGGCAGCTGGGTTAATTGGATGTAGGCAAACAGGGTGTTTGTTATGGTGGGAGGGGGTAATTACTGGAACCGATCCCCTGTATGGCTCTCTGCAGCAGCTGAAAGTTGGCTTTTTCTCCTCTCCCTCCTGCTGGCTTTCAGCTGCTGCAGAGGGAGTCATACAGGGGATCAGTTCCAGTAATTGCCTGCCTGCTGCCCAGGCCCCCTTTGTGCGCTCACCCCCCACACAGGGGCGTCCCTAGGGTTGGTGTCACCCGGTGCGGTAACACTTGGTGACACCCCCTCCGACGATCCCCGCAGAATGGATCGAATCTGCGGATTGAGCATAATGGATCGGCATAATGGTGTCGTTGGTTAAGAAGAGGCGTATTTTGGAGATGCTAGGGTGGCAAGATTGGAAGAGTGATTAGATGTGGTGCCGAAAACAGAGGGTATATTTGAAAATCTATTTTTAAAAATATTTTCATATATTTTGTAATAAAAATGCATTTGAACATATAGTATGCATATATATACACTATATGTTGAAATGCATTTTTATTACAAAATATATGAAAAATATTTTTAAAAATAGATTTTCAAATATACTGCATGTCTTTAAAAATACATTTAATCTATAATTTTGGAATGCATTTACAAATATATGTAAAAATATATGTTAAAATGACTTTTTTATATGTTAAAAGAATCTGAAGAATATATTTAAAAAATATATATATTTTTAAAAATATTTTTCATATATTTTTGTAACATATAAAAACAAACATTTCAATATGCTGTATGTGTATGTATATATATATATATATATATATATATATATATATTTTGTTATAATATTATTATATATATATTTTATATATATATATATATATATATATATTTTTTTTTTTTTTTGTTATAATATTATATATATATATATATTTTGTTATAATATTATATATATATATATTTTTTTTATAATATTATATATATATATTTATTAATTTTTTTGTTTAATTTTATATATATATATATATATATATATATATATTTTTTTTTTTTTTTGTTATAATATTATATATATATATATATATATTTTTTGTTATAATATTATATATATATATATATATATATATTTTTTTTTTTTTTTTGTTATATTATTATATATATATATTTTGTTATATTTTGTTATAATATTATATATATATATATATATATATATATATTTTGTTATAATATATATATATATATATATATATATATATATATATATATATATATATATATATAATATTATAACAAAAAAAAAAAATATATATATAATATTATAATAAAATATATATATATATATTATATATATATATAGTTATAATATATTATATATATTTTTTTTTTTGTTTTATATATGTATATATATATATATATATATTTTATTTTATATATATATATATATATTATATATAAAAATAAAAAAATGCATGTTTTATGTTATAACCATAAAATATTATATAAATATAAAAAAAAATAAAATTATAAATATATAAATTATATATATAGTTTGAAATATTTGGAATACGTCCAGAATTGTAGTATTTCAAATATACAGTATGTCAATATATTTGGGAAGAATATTTTTAAAATAGATTTTTCTTCCATGTGGGGTGTCACAAGCCTGTAAAAAGCATGTGCAATGTAAAGAAAAAGTGAACTCAAGGCATCCTTTCTGCATTCCTGGTCAGCAACTCCAAAAACACTGAAGCCCAAGGAATAATATGGCAATCATACAGCTAGCTTTTTTTTTTTTTTAGAAGGCGCCCCTCAGAATCTGCCTCCTATTTCTCTCCTACATTTCTTTTAATTCTGCATCCAAGAAAGTGTGGCAACTATAGCGCCTGCGCGCCGTTTGAAAAAAAAAAAAATTGTCGCCTGGAATTCCCGTTGAATAAGCAGAAATCCCTTCCTTGTGTCTTGCTTCCGGCCTACTAAAATTAATCTTTCACATGAAAGCAGAACACGATGCTCTAAAATAAAACCATTAGACATTTCTGACAGGCGGGACGCGGAGCTTTTGACGTACGTCTCATATTGTATCATGCATACATGTATGTCTCTCGGCTGGAGATCAGCAGGCGAGCGCGCCGGCTGAATGTAAAACGAGGCTGATCAGTGTGCAGGGCGCGCCGTCGCCTGCGGACTCTGCGGAATAGAGCGCTGGGCCTGCTTAATGCACACATGCTGATGCGATGCGCGGATATTAAGTCAGAGTGCCGTGTGCTGGGGAGCTGCCAGGAGACATCGCGGCCTCTGCGACTGCGGGAAAAGATCAAGTCATCTGCGCGGTCTACTATCGCTCGCCTACAAATCGATCGCTGCACATTTCAAACATAATTATTCTCTCTGCCGTGACTCTGCCATATGGATTCTGTATGCAGAAATAAATCGCACCTACTGGTCAAAGTTTGTGTAAAGACGAAACTTCTGGGGAGCCATGACAAGGGTAGAATAGACGCCTTCCAACCTAACCCAGCCTGCTAGGCCACACCCTCCACCATCCCAGCTATACAAAATACACAAACCAAGTTTTTGGAGTTAAAATGGCCATAGCAGCCTTTTATAAACCAATAAGTTATTTTAACATAAATAACAAAACATTACAAATTATAAACAGAGAAAAACATGGTGGTCATTTGAGGGCCATAAACCCAACTTCACTTTTGTGGAAAACATTCCTTCAACTTAGGCCCCCAGCAGCAACCCACCGGCTCGGGGACAATCCTACTTATCCTCAGCCGCAACCCACCGGCTCAGGGACAATCCTACTTATCTCCAGCTGCAACCCACTGGCTCAGGGACAATCCTACTTATCTCCAGCTGCAACCCACTGGCTCAGGGACAATCCTACTTATCTCCAGCTGCAACCCACCGGCACGGGGACAATCCTACTTATCCGCAGTCACAACCCACCGGCTCGGGGACAATCCTACTTATCTCTAGCTGCAACCCACCGGCTCGGGGACAATCCTACTTATCTCCAGCCGCAACCCACCAGCTCAGGGACAATCCTACTTATCTCCAGCTGCAACCCACCAGCTCAGGGACAATCCTACTTATCTCCAGCTGCAACCCACCAGCTCAGGGACAATCCTACTTATCTCCAGCTGCAACCCACCGGCTCGGGGACAATCCTACTTATCCCCAGCCGCAACACGCCGCCTCGGGGACAATCCTACTTATCCCCAGTCGCAACCCACCGGCCGGCTCGGGGACAATCCTACTTATCCCCAGCCGCAACACGCCGCCTCGGGGACAATCCTACTTATCCCCACCCAGCCTCAACCCACCGGCTCAGGGACCATCCTACTTATCCGCAGTCACAACCCACCGGCTCGGGGACAATAATACTTATCTCCAGCTGCAACCCACCAGCTCAGGGACAATCCTACTTATCTCCAGCTGCAACCTACTGGCTCAGGGACAATCCTACTTATCCCCAGCCCCAACCCACCGGCTCAGGGACAATCCTACTTACCCTCAGCTGAAACCCACGGCTCAGGGACAATCCTACTTATCCCCAGCCCCAACCCACCGGCTCAGGGACAATCCTACTTATCCCCAGCCCCAACCCACCGGCTCAGGGACAATCCTACTTACCCTCAGCTGCAACCCACCGGCTCAGGGACAATCCTACTTATCCCCAGCCACAACCCACCAGCTCGGGGACCATCCTACTTATCTCTAACCGCAACACGCCGCCCTCCTGGACAATCATACTTATCTCCAGCCGCAACCCACCGACTCGGGGACAATCCTACTTAACCCCAGCCGCAACCCACCGGCTTGGGGACAATCCTACTTATCCCCAGCCGCAACCCACCGACTCAGGGGCAATCCTACTTATCCCCAGCCGCAACCCACCAGCTCGGGGACAATCCTACTTATCCTCAGCCACAACACGCCGCCTCGGGGATAACCCTACTTATCTCCAGCCGCAACCCACCTCCTCGGGGACAATCCTACTTATCCCCAGTCGCAACCCACCGGCTCGAGGACAATCCTACTTATCCCCAGCCACAACCCACCGGCTCAGCGACAATCCTACTTATCCCCAGAGATCTGTCTGACTTGCTGCAGCTTCTAATGCACATTGTGAGAAGCTCACAGTGTGCAGTGACATCAGAGTAAGCCTTTTCAGTCCAGGAGAGGAGCCGGTACAACTCTGCAAGACTGAAGGGGAGGAGCCGGTACACCTGTGCAATACTGAAGGGTAGGAGCCGGTACACCTGTGCAACAGTGAAGGGGAGGAGCTGGTACACCTGTGCAAGACTGAAGGATAGTTGCTGGTACACCTGTGCAACACTGAAGGGGAGGATCCAGTACACCTGTGCAAGACTGAAGGGGAGGAGCCGATACACCTGTGCAAGACTGAAGGGGAGGAGCCGATACACCTGTGCAAGACTGAAGGGGAGGAGCCGATACACCTGTGCAAGACTGAAGGAGAAGAGCCAGTATGCCTGTGCAAGACTGAAGGAGAGGAGCCCCTATACCTGTGCAAGACTAAAGGGGAGGAGCCGGTACACCTGTGCAAGACTGAAGGGGAGGAGCCTGTACACCTGTGCAAGACTTAAGGGGAGGAGCCCGTACACCTGTGAAAGACTGAAGGGGAGGAGCCGGTACACCTGTGCAATACTGGAGGAGAGGAGCCAGTATACCTGTGCAAGACTGGAGGGGAGGAGCCTGTACACCTGTGCAAGACTGAAGGGGAGGAGCCTGTACACCTGTGCAAGACTGAAGGGGAGGAGCCCGTACACCTGTGCAAGACTGAAGGGAAGGAGCCGGTACACCTGTGCAAGACTGAAGGGAAGGCCGGAGTTCATATTTAGTCCTCATGCACATTGGGTGCTTTAAAACCGCAGGGTGCGTTAGCTGTATCAAGTCATGTTAAAAACGCAAGTTTTTCTACTTTTTTTAGCAGTTTTGTAGTAGCGTTTAGCTGCGTTTTTCCGCGTTTGCGTTTTTTTGAACTGAAAAAAAAAATGATTGCTAAAAAGAAGCCTAAACGCGTTTACCAGCATTAGAGTGTTTTTACAGCTAAAAGAACTCCTCTAGAAACCCACTAGTTTTTTTTTTTATAGCCAAAAAACTCCCCTAGGAAAAAACGCAGATTAAAGTATGTGTGTGTATGGACACCTAGGATCACATGCTGGGGAGTTTGCAGGCTATAGAAAAAAAAAAGGCAAAAGCCAAAAACAGCTGCTATAAAAACGTCCCGTGTGCGTGAGGACCTAATCTCATCACCATCTGTGCTGTCTTCTTTCTGTAGAACTCTACTGAACACAAACACACAATGGTAATAAACAGAGACTTGGAAAAAGATCTATAAAAAAAAAAAAAAAAAAGTTTGAATAAAAAAAAAAAAAAAACACACACAAAGAAACTGAAAATAAATGTGTTCGGTAAAAGCTCCCAGAAGAAAAAAAAAATGCAGAAGCCAATAAATTTTCATCATATGAAAATGGAACTCCCCTTTAAGTGGTTTCCAGCGCTGCCATAAACAAGACATTTTAGGTCCAATCTCCATTAATAACTTGACGCGTTTTTCTTAATTCCGGCGCCTGGAGGCTGGCAACAAGTTGTTAAATCTCGGCGTCGACGATACTTTAAAAGTACAGTTTTAGCAGAGCCTAAATGAGATTATTTACTCTTTTCCGCAAACTCATGGGAATGAGATTTATGATGTTCCGCTGTGTGTGATGTACCAAATTTTAACGGAGGATAATGAGTTTAGGTATGTTAATGTGTTCCTCTGGCTCTACCTTTCTGACTTATAGAAAAACTGATAAAACCTGATGTCGCAAAAGTGCCGCCGCTACAAATCACCATTCCTCCGGTATCCGGCGTGGAAAAGTTTTATTTCTGTTACTCGTCTACTTTTTGTGAATAATTACTTTTTTTTTCAATATTTGTAGTGATAATCATCAGGTTGACTAATGCTTCCATACCCAACCTCTTGCCCCTCCCTACATACAAAAAACATGGTGCAAGCCCCCCGTGCCACACCTTCTCTCCTCTTCTTCCCCACCAACAGGTACAAGCACACAATAGGATCCTTCAGGTTTTTTTCATTATTTGTAGTGATAATCATCAGGTTGACTAATGCTTCCATACCCAACCCTTTACCCCCTCCCTACATACGAAAAACCTTGTGCAAGCCCCCCGTGCCACACCTTTAACGGAGGATAATGAGTTTAGGTATGTTAATGTGTTCCTCTGGCTCTACCTTTCTGACTTATAGAAAAACTGATAAAACCTGATGTCGCAAAAGTGCCGCCGCTACAAATCACGGTTCCTCCGGTATCCGGCCTGGAAAAGTTTTATTTCTGTTACTCGTCTACTTTTTGTGAACAATTACTTTTTTTTTCATTATTTGTAGTGATAATCATCAGGTTGACTAACGCCTCCATACCCAACCCCTTGCCCCTCCCTACATGCGAAAAACATGGCGTAAGCCCCCCCCGTGCCACACTTTCTCTCCTCTCCTTCCCACCAGCAGGTGCAAGCATACAATAGGATCCTTCAGGGTTTTTTTTATTATTTATAGTGATAATCATCAGGTTGACTAATGCCTCCATACCCAACCCCTTAGCCCCTCCCTACATACGAAAAACCTTGTGCAAGCCCCTCGTGCCACACCTTCTCTCCTCTTCTTTCCACCGGCAGGTGCAAGCACAAAATAGGATCCTTCAGGTTTTTTTCATTATTTGTAGTGATAATCATCAGGTTGGCTAATGCCTCCATACCCAACCCCTTGCCCCTCCCTACATAAAAAAAAAACATGGTGCAAGCCCCCCGTGCCACACCTTTTCTCCTCTTCTTTCCCACCAGCAGGTGCAAGCACACAATAGGATCCTTCAGGGTTTTTTTTTATTATTTTTGGTGATAATCATCAGGTTGACTAATGCCTCCATACCCAACCCCTTAGCCCCTCCCTACATACGAAAAACATGGTGCAAGCCCCCCGTGCCACACCTTCTCTCCTCTCCTTCCCACCGGCAGCTGCAAGCACACAATAGGATCCTTCAGGTTGGAGAGTGGGGGAAGGGTTCAGTAAATATGTCACATATACCAGCCTGTTTCTTTCCTGAATGAACACAGTGGGTGATTAGTGCTGATCACCCACTGTCTTCATTCATAGCTGAAGCATAGTAAACTGTGTTTTTTGGGGGGCAGGGCCCCTGTCAGGTTAGCCCTGTGGTTTCTAACAGCAGCCCTGCTCTGATGATGTCTTGTATCATGCCATTAGTCTTTAATTATATTCTCTTGTGTGTCTATTGTCTCTGACATTGAATATTCACTGAATTTTAGATGCAGTGATGTCGAGGGCTGCACTTGAGGCACCCATTATCAAGAAAGTTGACCACCATAGTTACATAGCCTGGCTGAAAAAAAGACAAAAGTCCATCCAGTTCAACCATTAAAAAAAAGTTATAATCCTACACCCACAGCTGATCCAGAGGAAGGCAAAAAACCCAGCAAAGCACGATCCAATTTGCTCCTGCTGGGGAAAAAATCCTTCCTGATCAATGAGAGGCAATCGGAAAATCCCTGGATCAACTTTCCCTATAAATGTTATATCCAGTTATATTCTGTGTATCCAAGAAAGAATCCAGGACTTTCCTACAGCAATCCACTGAGCTGGCCACAACCAACTCTTGAGGGAGTCTATTCCACATTTTCACAGCTCTCACTGTTAAGAAACCTTTCCGTGTTTGTAGATTACATTTCTTTTCCTCCAGATGTAAAGAGCGCCCCCTTGTCCTCTGTGATGAGCTCACACCTTTGATGTGGTCATTCTTTGGGCTGACCTCTGCTTGACTTCCATTTGCATCAGATCTCTCCCTTCCTGCTCTGATCTCTACTTTAACTACTTTATTGCAATAAAAAAAAAAAAAGTGTTTGTGGCATCAAATTGCCAGCTTCTGATTTAAAGCCAAAGCAATCTGATGTTTATTAAATCAGATGACTCCAACCCATCCTTAGACATATGATAATGGGCACCTCTGTCGGTTGGTTCACCAATGGGTTTTTCCAGACTTCTCCTAACTCACCCAGTTCAAAAACCAGCCTAAGAACCCCACAGAGGATTCAGGACTGGGACCCCTGTGGTATTAACAGAGACCTTTTCAACCCTGCATTGGGCCAGGGTATTATCCACATGTGCCTACAGAAAGTTGTCTTTATCCAACAGGGTGACCACAGCTTCAGCCATTTTTTTCTTTTTTACTATTGATAAACTTTTTGAGTTAATCACCTTTTTTTGGTCATTTACTATACTATAAATGATTTCCCACCTCCCTCTTTACTTTTCTGGTGGACATCTCAAGCTGCCCCTTGGGTTCTGGCTGAAACCCTTGGACTCCCGTGGCCCACCACATCCGAAATCACTGATCTCTACTTTGTAACTCACTAAAGTTTGCAACCGTAGGAGCATAAAAAAATTGAAAGCTATGCATAACTATGGAATACTGGCGACCAAATAATAGCTTGGCCCCAAAGGGAACCTACATGAACAGATGGTAGCACAAAAGTTTCTTTCCCCTGTTTGTCAAGGAGGAGACCGGACACAGGTGGGTTAAGAGGACCAGCACTAGATGATGGCATACATTGAAACTTTCCATAAGAATCACCAATGACAATGTGGAGGAGGTTGGTGTTGTTGCCCTCTGAACCTTTTTCTCATGGGACAAGAGGCCAAATCCCATTTCACTTCTGCCAAGAAAAAAAAGTGAATGCGCCTTTGTAAGCAGCTACTGATACTATTTTACCACTTATAGCTATGTGGATTATTTTGAAGCTGAACTTCAGATGGGAATTGAAAGCACAAATTCATGACGTATCTACAGTCCTGGCCAAAAGTTGTGAGAATGACACAAATATTATTTTACCTGCAATGAAACACGTGCAGTCATCAATGCTTTGCACAAAAAGGGATTCATAGGCAAGGATATTGCTACTGCTAAGATTGCACCTTAATCAACCATTTATCAGATCATCAAGAACTTCAAGGAGAGAGGTTCATTTGTTGTGAAGAAGGCTTCTGGGTGCCGAAGAAATGCCAGCAAGCACCAGGACCGTCTTCTAAAGTTGACTCCGCTACGGTATTGAGACACCACCAGTGCAGAGCTTGCTCAGGAATGGCAGCAGGCAGGTGTGAGTGCATCTGCATGCGCAATGAGGCAAAGACTTTTGGAGGACGGCCTGGTGTCAAGAAGGGCAGCAAAGAAGCCACTTCTCTCCAGGAAAAACATCAGGGACAGACTGATATTCTGCAGAAGGTACAGGGTTTGGACTGCTGAGGACTGGGAAAAAGTAATTTTCTCTGATGAATCCCCTTTCCGATTGTTTGGGGCATCTGGAAAAAACCTTGTCTGGAGAAGAAAAGTGTGAGAGTTACCATCAGTCCTGTGTCATGCCAACAGTAAAGCATCCTGAGACCATTCATGTGTGGGGTCGCTTCTCAGCCAAGGGAGTGGACTCACTCACAATTTTGCCCAAAGAATAAAGAATGGTCCAAAAACATCCTCCGAGACCAACTTCTCCCAGCCATCCAAGAACAGTTTGGTGATGAACAATGCCTTTCCAGCAGGATAGAGCACCTTGCCATCAGGCAAAAGTGATAACTAAGTGGCTTAGGAAACCAAACATCGAAATTGTGGGTCCATGGCCAGGAAACTCCCCAGACCTTAATATCATTGAGAACATGATCCTCAAGAGGTGGGCGAACGAAAAAATTCTGGCAAACTCCAAGCATTGATTATGCAAAAATGGGCTGCCATCAGTCAGGATGTGGCCCAGAAGTGGATTG